AATAAAAATATCAATAATAATAATTAATAACAACAACTATAACAATAACAATAACAACAAAAATAAATAATAACAACAATTGTAACAATAATAATAATTAATAACAACAATTATAACAACAACAATAACAATTAACAACAATAATAATTAAACAAAATTATTCTAATAATAACAATAAAACAATAATAAATTTAAGATTATTTTAGATCTTACAACCATGCTTCAACGCTCCACTAATTACGATTACGAACTTTTTAATTTTTTCCGATATTAGGAAAATAATTAGAGAATTTAAGAGAATAATTAGAGAATTTAAGAAAATAAGGATTATTAGAGATTTAGAGAATATAAGAGATAAGAAGAAGAGATTGTGATTTTGTGATTTGGGAATGAAATGGAGGTGAGTATTTATAGAATTTTTGGGGAGCAAATTGGCAAAAAACTAGCCGTTTTTTAGCCTTTTTTTGGCTTATTAAGGAGCTAGAATAAACGGTAACATTACCGTTGGCCCGCGGGCCGTGCCTACGGGCCGGCACGACGGGCCAACACGGCGGGCCATGGCCGTGCTCGTGCCGGGCCGTGCCTGGGAATTCTCAACCCTGTCCGTGGCACGGCCCGTGGCACGGGAGTTGAACTTCGTGCCGTGCCGTGCTTGAATTCGGGCCGTGCCGGGCGGCACGCGGGCCAACCCGGCCTGTGCCCAGGTATAATTGGACGCCTCTGCCAGATAAGCCTTTTGTTAATTATGGAAAGATATCATGGAGATTTCTAGAATCATGAGTAATCTACCCTATTACGATTCACATTGGAGGACATTTAATGCTTTTTACATTTAGAAGATCATAGGAGATATGATTTTTAAGTAACAAATCATGATTCTATTTTGTTTGACTAAAGGCCCATTTTCATAATTCAGTATTCAGTTTTGTGTAGGAAATAATAGCAAAGGTTAGAGTCATATCAGAATATCACATTATTGTGCTTAATATGTTTATTATTATTTTTTTGAACCCCCTAGTTCTGGTTTTTTTTTTTTTGAAGCAACTCCCTAGTCTAAGAATTGTGTGTTCTCGATTGAAAATAAAATAGTAATAGTACTCGTGTTAAGCTAATTACTACCTCCGTTTCTTTTAAGTGCAACAAAGGAAAATTTTATGTCTCACAAAAAATACCCCTTTGTTGCACATAATAATGGAGGTAGTATCATATTCCAGATTCATTAAATGGCTAATTAGGGGTTGCACTCAGATTCATTAAAACTTTGTGTACCAGGAAATTTACTACCATTTTGTTCTTCTATTATTTTATCTCATTTTATTTTTATTCCCTTTTTTCATTTCTTTCATACATAATGCCTTGAATTATCTGTATGTTCACAACCTGAGGATCATCATACATTATACTTTTAAGGGTAAACAACCAGTTTAATAGTTTGGAAAGAAGCTTGCCTGATATTTAAGCTGATAGGACAACCTTTAATGATATTTGCTTGGCCTGCCTCTTAAATTACCCTATGTCAAATCAAGCATTGTATCTAAGTTTAACCTTTTCACAAGTCTATTAGTTTAGTAGTGGTTTTAATCTTTTTAATCTTCTTCAAGTGGACACTAGCCATAGTAACATCACAAATTAATGTACACTGAGTGCACTAGAATTGTGGTCCGTATTTTCCATCACACTTAAATGACAAAGTTTGACTGACAAGGATGATTATGATATAAAAAAAAAAAAAATAAAGGTAGCATGCAGAAGAACCCTGGCTGTTATTTAGTTGCTCATAATCACAAATGCACACATTAATAAATAGTAATTGTTTTTAGCCTCGACTATTAAACTTTTGTTTGTGAACAGGAAAACAGTTTTTTTTTTTTTTTTTTTTTAACATTATATATGACAGACAGTGAGGTTAGTTTCATTTCCTTTCTCTCTTCTTTGTCTTTGTTACTGGCTTATTCCTTACAGATTGATGAGTTAATATCTGTCTACGGAATCATAATGAGATGGTTCTATCGGAATCTAATCTATAAAATGATAGATTGTAAATCATATCAGGTTGGAACCTAAATCAACTAATTATAATACTGAATGTAGACGAGACAACTATCTGAAATCCTGTTAGATTTCCATGTAACTGGAATAAACGTCATATAAATGTGATTTTTGTTACTTATTGTTTCCTAAGATGAACAATGTTACTATGTTTCCAACTTAGCATTGAACTCTTCTGCTAGAGTTCTTAGCTTTGCCTTAGTTCTTGACCTTTACCAAAAACTAATTATGATCTTAAGTGGCTTAGTTGAAGGGAGCAATGGGAGGGCTCCTGCCCACTCTGTTTTACTCAAAGTGTTCATTTATTGTTGTTTGACATTTAGTACAACTAAATGCTTACTCTCTTTCATTTGCTTTGTGCTATATGGTTACCTACTAAGCTACATCATTTTGGGCATGCTAGATAAATAAATTGTTCTGCATATATTTTGCATCATGTGTAGTAGGAAAACACACCTTTTTTTTTCAACTGTCTGGATGCTTACCAAATTCTTATCTTATAAGTTGATTGAACTCCTTTCAGATGCATCCTACATAGTTAAAACTATTGAATTCTTCATTGTTAAGAGGGCCATTTTATTATTACATAGCCAATTTTTTTTCTACATGTCCTTTGTTTGGAAGGTGTATTTTGTTTTCCATTTCTCATTTTTTTCTCCTTTGTGTTATTGTGTTTATAGTAATTGCATAATCTTATGTTACTAAATAAGCTTCTTTAGTAGTTTTATCCCTTCCGAAGAACTCAAATATTACTTTTGAGACTTGAGAGAACTTGAACTTCATCCTCTCCTTTTGTCATGCAACCACCAATTCCTTTTATTAACACTTTAACAGTGCACAACCACCACTAGAGGGTGTTGGTGGATGGTTAGATAATATATTCTCAAACAGAAATAATCCAGGATTCTTTTTCAACTCAAATTCATCATATCGTCCATTTAATTCCTGATTCTTGCTTGAGCAGCACCTCAACTCTTCTAACTCCTCTTCCCAGTTTCTCTGTAGAGCCAAATATGGGTTCAATCTATGAAACAGACAACTATATCTTATCCATTCCTTGTCCCTCAGTTTCACCGTTGCAAACTTTTAGATCTAGTACATTAGTGAGAAATCTTTCATCTTGCTATTCTGTTACTCTCCTAGATGACTCTAGAAGCTGTAATCATTTGGTTCAGACTAGTCAAGTTCATAGCTATTTTCACTTGGCCTTATATTTCCTAATAATTCCTTAACCAACTTTACATGTGGATCAATACATGCTGTTTAATTGTTTGTTTCATTAAAGTAGCCAATAATCTAGCAACCAAGCTGTTGACATTAAATATGTTTAACTTGCCATGGTCAGACATAAATCCTTGCTTTTCGTTGTTTTAGAATGAAATGATTGAAATCTTGCATCCTGAGAAATATTTTGGGTCTAATTCCTTTGATGATAATCCAAATAACATAGATGCTTTGTAGCACAGGTTCTACCAATCAGCATATTTACTGTATCATTAGTGAGCTGAATGGGCAAATTCCCACTGTGTTGCTAACTACCATCTCAAAGGCTCATGCTGGAGAGACGTGATTTTTATGTAAGAATGATATTTTGATGTAGTGAAAGGCACCTGAAGGAGATTTACAAACTAGGAAGAGCAATTCCACCAATGAAGACTGTGTAACATGTCATTCAGTACTGGCATGCAATGCCTTGGGTGCACATATGAGTTACCATGCCTAGAAAAAGAAGTTGGAGGTGCCAAGGATCACCCCCAGGCCCCAACTGTCTTAGCAACCACTTGATATGACTGGAGTTTGCGTCTGCTCTGGCTCTTGAATAACAAGGCTATGGTAATTGTTCGATGAATACCTTTTGATAGTACGTTTAATTTTATATATTATAAGATGGAGTATATGTGAAGAGATTTTGGGAGTAAGGTGTAGAGGTCTTATTCATTTTCTTTGTATTTTTCCCCACATGCTGAAATGTGCTGTACTTTTCTCACTTTTTTTTAATGGTAAGGGGACACCTACTTCAATGACGATGATGTAAGCCAGGGTTTTGGTGTGTTTTCAGGTGGGGGTTTAGCCACTGCTCTCGCACCTACATGCATGTCAAGTTCTTGAGTTCAGAAATGAATAGATCCTTAACAGGTTTTATTTGCAGTTTTTGATAGTCTGATTCATTTTCAGCTCATCTTACCTCAAGGTCTCCTTGAAGTCTTGAAGCTACTGAGAAGATCTGAAAGTGTTAAGTGTCTTTTTCTATGGGATATTTTTTTATTTTATTTTATTTTTGGTTAAATTGATTTTGAAATTTTCTACTTCAGGTGCTTGATTTGTTGTTATGTTATATCATTCAGAGTTTAATTAATGGCATTTAGTGGTGGTATTGTTAGACTGATGTTGCTAATGTCGAGGGATGAGGATAAGTTGGTGCTTATGATATACTTTGTATAAGATAACTTACATAAATCTTTAGTTTCTACGGTTAAGTAGTATTCTTGTTTCTCTTTAATGTTTGTCACCGTAACTATGTTATAAATCTTCAAGATGCTGCTGTTACCTGTTTGGTATGTTTTGCTTTTGTGAATTTTTTTCAGTGAGATTTCTGTTATGTGCTGGATTACGATTTGAGTAAATTTGGCCACAACATATCAACGTTGGAATTAAACCATTTGATTCAGTCAAATTTTACATTTATCATTATACCCATAGAAATTAACAGCGGCTACTTATCAGTCGTAGCCACTCTAATAAAAAGCCTACACCCTAGATATCAATGTAAAATATTAATACGATTTTGATCAATAGTGTAGAATCTGTAGATCCTGTTAATTGCAATGATACTTTTTGCCATTCCTGTAATTCGCAGGTATAATGTTACGGGCGATAGCAGGAAATCTCTGACAGTGGAGGCATAACAGGAGCTTAGTAAGAAATTCGACGAACAGAGTTCACACTCGAGATGATGATGAGTCACAGAGATAATAGTTTCGTTTTATATCCAATAGAACAGCTGAGATATTTAGTGCCTGAAAATCTAATACAGGGAAACACTCGGGATACCTAGTTACTACAAGTAACAGTCTAACAAAGTAACAAGTTACTACTAACAAGTACGAGTAGAATTTTTTTCAGAACTTATCACTTAGTTCATAACATAACAGTTCGGGACCAGAATTAGAATGTCAGAACCGATTTTTGTACCAGTATACACCTTTCTGCTGTGAATCATCGTCTGGCTCGACATACAAACACTCCTTAGCTTCCCTCCATAATGCTTTATAGAATGGCGTCCCATCAAACTGGTAATAATCCCCAAGAATAGGCTTGATTGCTTTGGTTGCTTCCATTGCATGGTAATGAGGCATAGTAGAGAACAAATGATGAGCAACATGAGTATCTGTTATGTTATGGAAAACCTTGTTTAACACCCCATAATCGCGATCCATAGTGGACAATGCCCCCTTCAGCCAATCCCACTCCGATGAGTCGTAGTAAGGTAATGCCGGGTGCGTATGCTGGAGGTAAGTTATGGTGACAAGGAAGCCGTTGACAACCAAAAGTGGGAAGCCGTACATGTAAATCAACCAAACTAGACCTTTAGTCATAGCAACCTTGTATAGGAGAAACAGCACCCCTAGTACACCCAAATCAGATACAAAAACTTGAGTCCTCTCCCGGGTTGAGAAAATGGGCCCACTTGGGTCAAAATGGCAAGCGAACCGGTCATAAGGTTAGGCAAGGGACTCGAACTAACAAATAAAATCAAACTAGCTACCCATTCAACTCGTCTATTTTCTTACTAGATACTAGGATAGACTAATTCTACATGCAACCCTTTTTCTAGTTTAGATATTTCTACAATTTTGGTAAAACATTGTACAATATATTACAAAAACAAAAATAAATATATTATAAAAATTAATTAATTAAAAAAAATCGCGCACAACGTCAGCTTTCCTATGAAATTATTATGTTAGTTACGTTGTCCATACATTAACGCTAGACTTTAAGTTTCTATTTCACCATCTTTTTTTTTATGACTTTAAAGTTTGGTTATTTTTATTACTCTTTATTTGGAAGTATCGTTAATTCGTTGTTACTCTTTTCGTAGGAAAAAACCAAAAATTTCCAATATAAGTAAATTTTGGATGGAGGATCGAAGACAATACTGTTTGATAATGATTGTCAAAAAAAGTTACAAAAATGCATTGTCATATATAGATTGTGTTAATTTAATTTATCTATCCCTTCTTTTATTGCCTTTGTAATCTTTTTGTACTAGAAATGAATCAATGAAAATTAATGTCTTAATTATATTTGTAATATATAAAGGATTGAAAAGACTGGTTGTGTCCATTTCACATCCTCTCATACTCTTCTCTTCAGGTATAAAATTATAACTAAGTAAGATGTATCCTTACAATTAGAGGAAGAATTGAAGAGCATATATCATATAGAAAATGGAGAGTCCCATTATGCTATTGATAATTAAAAAGTAATGAAATTATAATAAAAAGATACAAGGAACTTATGGTTTCAACAAATTCAAATTCCAAACTAATGACATCAAAAACTTCCTATAGCTTAAGGTGAATATAAAACATCAAGAACTAAAAAATTACTATATAAAAAGCATATAATTAGGCACATAATGAATAAATGATAATATATAATGAACAAAATGCACAAATTTATGAGGAAAAAACGATAATATATATAAACAATTAAACATCATACCTCTTTTGTAACAACAAAAAACCAAAAGTATCAAACCAAGATGAGAGCTTCTTTCTTCTTGGCTTTTATTTTGCGAAATATTATATTTGAAGGTAAAAAATGATAGTAGTACGAGGGGATGCCCAAGCATTTGCACATATATATAGTGACCTTCCCAATTCCATAAAATAACTAAGTCCCTTCTATATGGGAGGTAGGTGGGCACTATAAATATCACTTCAATCAAGTGAGGATATTTTTTTTTATGTAGAAAAAATTAGGGGTGAGGATGGGACGCGTACTCGTACTGTTAGTACTAACGATTTTGATAACTGATAACCAATATCACTAAAAGTGATAATCCGGACTTTGGGTACCCGGATTTTCGAATCAGTTATCGGGTACCCCAATAAAATATCCAATAATGATAATTAAATTTAATAATGTAGTTATTATGATATCATTTAACACTAATTAACAACAATACTACATGATCTTGACCAAATTATTAATAATATTAGTACTAATCATTGATATTATAAAGTGATTATGAAGTAAATTAAGAGTTTAGATTTTGGAAAAATAGATTTAAGTAGGAAAAAAAAACAAAAAATTGCTTATCGGATATCGGGTAACCGTTAATTTTAAAATGATACCCATAAATCATACCTGATAACAAATTATTGGAACGGGTACCCGAACCGTTATGGTTATCGGATCGGGTACCCTAATTTTCAGAACGGTTACAAATCGAGTTTTCGGGTAGTTTTGCTCAGCACTAGAAAAAATCATAACTTTAGACAACTATTATTATTTTTGGTTCAAATTGGCAAAAAAGACATTACAAATCACAAATACATGGAAGAAAGTAGAAATTCAAACTTGTAACTTATTGTATTCAACTAATACATACAAGTTTTTAGTGTTTGTTACTACAAGGCTAAATCTCGTAGATATGTGTTAAAGGACCAACTCAATCAAAAGATTAAGCTGATGGTTGAAACCTATGATTAGTTTATATACTCTATCACACACCAGTCACACTTAGGGTTTAAAGTGCGGATGAAGTATGCGTCTCCTCATGTCCAATGCCAATGCTAAATAGAGAGGTGAATGATATTTGAATTCGTGACTTCTTTGTCATATCGACTCTTATTGCTTGTATATAACATAATACGTTTTCGCTAGTTCAATCAAGTCAATTGAAAATATTTCCCTAGATTTAATTTTATGGTAATGATATATGTAGGGCTATATATAAGCAATAAATATACTTCCTCAAATGGAATTAAGTTAGGAATTCATGGTAAAATTACGCGCAAATCGGTGTAGTAAATGTTAATTTATCCTTAATATTTCCTTTTTTAGGGCTATTTTTATCATTTTTCCTTAATTTTATCAGCTCTTGATATCATGTTACGTTGAAAGATCGATTCAACCAAAAATTTAAGTTGATGATTGAAACCGGAATTGATTCATATACGTACTCTATCAAAATGATGTAACATGTAACACAAAGCCTTGTGAGTTAGCACATAGAATTTCCATTGCTTATTTATTTTAGGGAATGTTTAATAGTGAAAGTCAATATTTAATGGTCCTCGATTATTATTAAGGGCATCGACCAGTGTGCAAATTAAGTTGATAAACACAATATTAATGATGCTTTAATTCATAGGAGATTTTTTTTTTTTGGGAACACTAATTCATAGGAGATTATTGCTCACATTACTTCTTAACTTCCAAAAAATATAAGTGGTTGCATGGCATAGTAGAAGACTTAACAAACCAAACACTCGTCAAGAGAAATAGTTGCATCTTGCATGTGTCTGCCTAAATTGGAATCCACACATGAACCATTGTGCCTCTTCTAATTTGGCCTTCCTATCGTTGTTAATGAGACATGAGAAATTTATACTTTTTTGGTATATCTTACTTTGTCATACTACACGTCAGCTTGATATAGTGACAAAGTCTAAAATTAGTATTGCATGTATTAAGAAACGGTGGAAGTGTATCATATATAATTTCATTACAACAAACTATTATGTCAAGACGATTTTGTTATAATTTACTACAAATTGAAGCACATCTTCTTCCTATTATAGTAGATTAGTAGGTTGAGTTCTTATTACAGTGAGTTGTTATTAATTAAAACATAATTTGAATAATTTAAGGTTCTATATATACTTTCTCCGTTCTTTTTTACTTGACTCCCTTTAACTTTTACGCCATTCACTACCCCTTATTTGACCGATTTTTGTGAATAATATGTAAGGAAAAATATATTCATGTGGGATCTTTTTAAATTCGTCTCAATAAGTACTATCACAATATGTAACTTTTATAATTTTTATTTACGGAGAATTAAAATTATTAATTATTGAGTTTTGCATTGACAAACATAATAAAATAAACAGGTCAAGTAAAAAATAACAGAGGAAGTACATTGTAACAAATTAATATGGTGCATATATTAACATGTAGCTTTATCGGTTGCTATGTCATTTTCTCTTTCACATGCTAAAGAAATGAAAATTGAATTCCATAATATTGTGTTTCGTTGGATAAATGGGCCAAATGAAACTTTTTCTTAATCCAAGTTGTTGATAAGTTTCGTGTAAGCCCAGAAATTCTTAACACCAGAATCAATTAACTTTAGCAAGAACAGCTATCAATTTCATTAGAAATTCTTAACACCAGAACCAATTAACTTAAGCAAGAACAGCCACCAATTTCATTAGAATTAATGCTTATGTAATCATCAAAAGTCTTTCTTAAATCTCAAGCAATAATCTTCCTTACGCACGCCACTTATACAGCCGTACGTAACAATGTGCTAATAATAATAATGTGTAGAGTTGTGTTTTTTAATCGAGTTGATAGAAAATTTTGAAGGAAAATTACAGATCGATCAGTGTAATTAAAAGCCATAAAAGCTTTATAATGTTTATTCTATAGTAATATAGTTGAAATGTACAGGAGTACTTAAGTATTCGTAATTGATAAAGTGAAACTAATTGTATTCTTCAATACTAATTCCTTTGGGTTTTGTTCCCTAAATAAAAATGCCTTTGGGTTTTGTCATTTGGAAATTTAGATAGATTTAAAAGAGAAGAATGTAAAATAGAAAACCGTAAAGAACTGCATATAAGGAATTAATAGAGTAAAAATTAAATGAAATATAACATTTATTACACAATTTATGTATGACTTTGTTATACATTTTGTTTGGGTCCAATTTAGTCCAATTGGGCCTAGGCATTAAATGATCCAATTAAAAGCCCAAGGTCAAGGTTCATCTCTCCAATTGTGCTAAAGTCAAAGATCAGTCCTCAAGGCAAGCCAATTGGGCTAAGGCCCAACTTCTCCATATATGCAAAGGTATAAAAGCCATCAATATTACATTTGTACATTCATTCAAGAAAAGCCTCAAGCAATTAATTCTCTTGCATAGTGTTCTCTTTCTACACACTGTACTGACTTTAGCATCGGAGGGGCCTTCCTCGGCAACACCCCCGAGGCTAGTTTACGTGTGTTTACTGTGCAGGAAACCTTCGGCCCAACATCACTTGGACCGAATCCAGTCTTCTCGACTTCATCGGACTTTCGATAAGGTCCCATTGTTTTAACCCGAAACAATTTGGCGCCGTCTGTGGGGAGGACTTTCAAAAATCTTTAAGCCAAATTTCTAACCAAGATCATCTTGCAATTATCTTAGTAGCAATGGCTAAGAACCGCAAGAGCAAAGGCCTCCGTCAAGGAGCAGGCGAAAAGCCTAAAACCCCTACACCATCACCCTCGCCGGATCGGAACTCTCCCAAGGGTGCCAGCTCGGGGGGAGGATCATACAGGGAGGATTCCCTTTCTCCCGTAATTCATAACTCTCATCATAGGCCGAGTCACTCTTGGTCTAGCAGGGGTGAGTCCGATCATAGGACACATTCAGTGCCCCAAAGCCAACCATCGACTGTGCGCTCTCATTCCCATACTCGGCCAAGGACCCCTTTGACGGGGCCCAGCTCGGAGGAGGTGGCAAGAGCGCTGGCAGTGCTCATGGAGGCAATGAGGACACAAAATATGCCACCACCTCGTGATCGAATTCCTCCGCATACCCGGCATCAACGGAGGAAGCTAGACCATGATGGTGGGAAGCTTCCTTCCTCCCGGGAACTGGGAGAGTGGGAAGAGGATACCTGGAAAACTGAAAAAGAGAGGAAAAAGAACCCTCAATTTTTCAAAGGATCCTCGTCCTCCCGACCAGAAACGCATAAGAGCAGCAGCTCAGCTTCTCGGCCAGAATCTACTCACCGAGAACAACCTGAGACTGTTCGCCGAAGCGTCCTCGACCGACTCGGCGGCAAGGAACCGAGCGTGCACAGTCGCCTCTCGTTCCCTGCGGCCGAGGCCCAGACTTCCCAGCCAGGGACGAAAACCACTCCTACCTCTCTAAGAGGGCGGAGCGCGGTCCCTTCGGCCAGGAACAATGGCAAGGCCGTTATGCTACCCGCCAGTTCGCCATTCGAGCAATGGATACTGGAAGAGCACGTGCCCACGGTTAAAATACCGTCGCACATCACATATGACGGGACCTCGAATCCGAAGGACCACGTGGCCTCGTACGAGACTCATATGCATCTTTGCCCCAGATCCGAAGCGACTTGGTGCAAATATTTCCCAACCACTCTCAAGGGGGTCGTGCAAGCGTGGATCTCCAAGGGAGTAAAGCAAGGCTCCATAACAGGGTGGGATGATCTGTCCTCCAAATTTAGGAGCAAGTTTTCCACGGCAAACCGCCGAGAGAAGACTACTGCAGAACTCATGAGTCTGCAACAGGGGGAAACCGAAAGCCTCCGAGACTATCTGACCCGTTTCAGTAACGAGTCATCCAGCGTCTCTCAGCTGGACCAGGGGCTAGCCGTTTTTGCAATGCAGAATGGCCTTCAGCCCGGGAAGTTCCTAGAATTCATGGTCATGCATACCCCGCAGGCCTTGGAGGAAGCTCTGAATGCCTCGGATAAGTTCATCCGAGCCGAAGAATGGAACAAAGCGAAAACCCAACCTCAATTCGGGGGAGGGAAACAAAAACAAATACCCTTGTCTAAAGGCCAAGGCCATAACGCAAAGGGAAAGTCAAAGGTCTCGGAGCAATCTTCGGCCAGCGACCCAAAGAAGGAAAAATATGCCTCATACACA